CCGAAGGAAAAGCCTTTGGTCCTTCCTTTTAGGATGAGTGCACCGTGCACGGCGGCTTGCCACTACCTGAATCGAATGTCTAAGATGAGCCCTAACTTGACTCTTATCGAGCGTTTTGATATCAACATACGGTGTGCTCATCTGAAACTTTCATTTTTTCTAAGCTTGTGATTAAGGACTATCTCTTAAAATTGTCTATATTTTCACGCGACAATGCATGTCGAACATGTGCATGGTTGCAATGGAATTTGCCAGTCATTGCTTTTTAGGAGAAGGTTTGGAAAAGAGAGAAGAAGAAAGTTCTGGGGTTTGGTAAAAGAGATGATCGGTAAAAGAAAGAATTAATTTTTCTTCCAAAACTAAACTATTGCTTGTATAAAGAAAAATTATTATACTCCTAAACGTGTTCGTCACGTTCTTGCCGTGACATATTTCCCATTTGTTGGATTGAAAGATTTCAAGGATTTTCCTTGATTGCAAGTTGAAGTATAAACTACATGCTCTTTAATTGTCAAAATTGAACTAAAAATGTAGTTTGGCCTATTGGTAATAGCTACATTCACATTTTGTCTTCTCGTTTCTCTTTCAGACATGAACAGTTTCACATCTTGCTTGGAATTCGAAAAGCAAGTGGAAGTTCTGAGGATCAAGGAGTATTGAGATGAGAACGAAGGGAAACTTTATTGAAGGCTAGAGTATCAACAGCTCACAAACTGCAAGATTCTATATATTTACACAAGAATCTAAATTATTGAGCTGTTGATACTAAATTACAAAAATTCAACTGAGTTAAAAGCACTACACGAAATTGATACTTGGGCTTAATGTCCCATGCATTGATGTATTGTAGAATTTTGCTTACATATGTTCCTAATTGGTAACCATGTACAGTTAGATCATCAAGCACACGATCACTTAAACCAACTAAGAGATAACTTTGAAAAGTACTAAATAAAATTAGGTTTTACTACATTTTACCCGTTGAGATTTCGAGGTCCCATAATTTAAAAAATTGAGTTCTTTTTATTGTTTACTGACTTGAGCATCTAAATGTCTTCAGAAATTCATTGGCCGCCAAATAATTTTTTTTATAACAAAAATGCCCTAGACCGATGATGGGTGTGGGCTCCATGCTCTTCATATGTGGGTCCATTCTCGGGAACGTCATCATTTAACGGTTGATTAGACGGGACGAAGAGTAAAATTAGTTCAATCGCAAAATGACATAGTGGAATTTACGAAAATGGAAACCCGACGGCCCATTTTGATAATACCCCAAACCTCACATTGTAAAATACAATTAATTCATAAAATTACGTAGAATTTTCCTAACTGAAAGTGTGAGAATGAACGCCGGCCCAACCTCTCTTCCTCTGCTTTTAGTGTATACAGACAAGACACTGAACACGTAACATTTTTTGCTTCAAGCCTGTAACAACAATTGCTAACGCCTTATATTTATTTATCATTTCTCAGACTCCTTGGTTGGCTTCTCAAATCTCCCAAGCTTCTCAAAAATCTAGTCCTAGTCCAAGCATATACCAAATGTAGGATAAGTGTTATCCAACCTTAGACCAAGCCAAGCCAAGCCTAGACAATCCCAAAGCATAGTCCATGCCAAGACAGTACTGTGTAACAAACAAGAGCCCATATTTATTTATCATTTCTCAGCCTCCTTGGTTGGCTTCTCAAAACTCCCAAGCCTCCTGTCTCTCAAATTCCTCCAAATTTCTAGCTTTAGAGTTTCTCAACTTCTTGGTTTTATCAATCCCAGCATTGTAGATGTTACTTCAGTATTTTTGTTTTTTTCTTCTTTTCTTTGTGTTTGTCTTCAATCCTTTCTTATATACAGAAAATGATATTTTGGTTGATATCTAAATTTTTCCTATATTTATAAAAGGATCCATATTTTAAATACTCTATACACAAGCAAATAAAAATAAAATTATTTTTGTTGAGTGAGTGCATCTATAAATATGTAGAGTCTATTTTCGGCATCGTCGTGGGCCTTCAAAATCTAAAGGTCGGCCCCGTTTATAGATTCCTAATTACATGCCATGTAAAATAAGTACTACTGCCAATTCTGGCTGTTTTTCTGGCTTTTCGTTTTCGGAAGCGTTTTTTTACATTCAATGGTAAATTTATAATTTGATTCACTTTTGGCTGGGACACATTAAGCATATACTGGTCTCTATATGTTTGAATATTTCTGCATAAGAGCTGCTTTTTTGTGTAGCTGCTTTTTTGTGTAGTTACATTGGTGATTGATTGCAGCCAATATTTAATTCAATTGGAGCTATCTTGTTGACCTATTCTATTCTCATCATCCAAAAGTAGTTGGATTTTGGTTTTGACATTCTATGTTTATACATAATAGATATTCAATTTCTTCAACCTTTGGACTTGGTGTACCTACAGACTTTGCAGGCTGCTGGTCTCTGTGGGTGTGTATAATTTACATATATATATATATGATTCACATTTGTTGGTCTGTTTGGAAGTCTTCTGTGATTGCTGGTCTTAGTAGGCTTCCTTTGAACTTTCCCTCATCTTTCCTCCACTCTTGTTTAATTTTCCTTTTTGTGTCCAGTCCTTTATTGTGATATCTTAATGTGACAGTGATCATTGCAGAAACTTCAATGAAATGAAATTCAATGGAACAGATAGATATTGTGATACTATGAAGAGGGTTTCCTCTTTGTCACCAATGAAGAAGATGAATATCTCAGACCAAAGAGAAGATGAGTATCTCAGACCAAGATCAAATGGTGCTAGAAGTGGACCCATTAGATTACGTATGACGAAGGCAGGTCCTCGTCTATGCGAAAGCAGCAAGAAGGATGAGGCTGCAGCTGCTTTCTGCCAATCATCAGAAGAAGATCTTGATCTATACAAACAATTTGGTAACGACAGAGAGTCGATGTGGTTGTCTACAGATTGTTCATCACCTTCTGCCTTTTTCAGAGAGTATAGGTGGTCTGATTCATTTCACTCAAATGAGTTGTTGTTGCCTTCTTGGTTGTCATTGCTGGCAAGAGAAAATCCTATGGAAGAGGCATCTAATTTGCCTATGCTGAAAACTTCTCGAGAAGAAGACAGGAATTTAGAGGAAGATATGAAGGATGAAAAGATAGTTACTTGGCTACTTAGCACAAAATCTGATTCTTCTCAGAGTCTAGATTTCGAGAGGATAGGTTTTCACGTCTCTTTATTGAATCTTGATGGAGAGGATAACAAATTGATACCAGGTACAGATCCAAAGTTGGATTATTTTCTGTCTGATTTTCCAAGTCCATCTTACAAAAGTAATTGGGGTCATGAATTTCAGTCATGTAATATTAGTAGTGGAGCACAAAGTGAAACATCAGTATGTGATTTTTCATCAGAGCATGCTTCTGAAGCTGCAGATTGCTTAGATCTAAATACTGATGAACCACTTTTCTGGCCATACGAACAGAAAATCACTTGGAATTCTGAGGCAACTTGGAATTACTTTTCCATGTCGCCGCGGAAGGACATAAGTATAACAACTTTTGGAAGTCCACCAGATTCAGTTCAATTAAGCCACCATGATAGGAACATAGGTCTCAAAGAAGGGCATAGGAGAAGACTAGTGTTCAGCTCAGGATCAGCAGCATCAAAGATAATGGAATTAAAACAAAGATACAACAAGGGTGCACGCAGGACCAACACTTTGCCTTCAAGATTGAGCAGGACAACCAAAACTTCTGAGAAAATTGTACCTTTAAACATGAAAGATGATACTGCAGAACTCAAAGATAGAAAAGCTCATGTTGAAAGACCAGTCGGTATGGTTAAAGCTCCCGTAGAAGAAGGTTCTGCTTCAAAAGAACTTCCAATTGAGATGTTCTTGGACCTTGATGAATTTGACGGGCATGAGGGAGTTGATTCAGAATTTGATAAAGATGACTTCTCACTGCATGTGTCTCTCCGTTAGTTGGATCGTCGCGCATCGCTCATTGAGCAGAGGGCAGGGGCATAAAGTAAAATCTGGAGAATGATAACAAGATTGGTCAATCTTTTAGCAGATATCTAGGTTGTTATGAGCTTAAATTTTGCTCTGGACGCCGCTGTCTTACTATTTTACGTACTTGTACGTTGTTCACTTTTCTTCATGTTTCCTTTCGTTTTGTTTCAGGCAGGATTCATGTGCGTCCAATGTATAGAGAAAAATTGATAAATGCATACAGACAACAAGTATTTCTTAAATTGTGAGCATAAAATGACAGGCTTCACGTTATCCACACGGAACAAATCATGGCCTGCCTTGAACCTCAGCAGCACTCAAATCAAGTCACCTTATGCTCATGAACAACTAACAAGACTAATTCAGCAGACACAGAGCCGTAGGTCACGTCACTTGCCAATCAAATAATATGACAGTGGAAGGTAGTAATTGTTGAACTATAAAAATAAGAAAAATAAAAAAACCTTATTTGGTAACGTGCTGTATTTCTAGGTAAACAAAATGTCCTTAGTGTGCGGTTTGCGAGCATGCCAACAGATGGCCACAGGGGTGAGCATGCAATTGATGTAGGTGGTGCGCTGGATATGGACATTTTCAAACGATTACAGCCGAGGAAGGAACATTTCTTGATCTGAGGTTCTCCTACCTTGAACACAAGCAGTGCCAGCCCTGAGGGTGGGCAAGGCCGATGGCCATGGGCCTTGCATTTGTAGGGCCCCAAATTATATATTATATATGCACTAAGTTGAAGAATATGATTTTAGAGGAGAATAATTTTAATAGTTTGGTATTTGGTGGCCCCAAATCTAATTACAAGTGTTTTTGAAGAGTCCAAATGAAAATTATGTAATATAAGAACATCAATTGCATGTATTTAAGTATTTAATTGCCAAAAAGTATTTAATTACTAAAAATAGCAATCAATGAAAGAAAGCTAGGGACTAGAAATTCTTTTATTTATCCAAAAATTCTTGTCAGTAGATTATTTAGCAAGGAAATATGTAAGAGTGCAAATTATTTGTATACTCATTCTTGTTTATTTTCATATTGGACAGTGATTATATGACCAATACTAGAGCCGTGTTTATTTATCCAAATTGTATTTAATTGTACTCTTTTTTTCCATGTTATTTTATTATATTCAGGAGAATGAAAGAGAAATGGGCCTCATTTTCATTTCTAGCCTAGGACCACCCAAAAGTTAGGGCTGGCCCTGAACACAAGACTCGGTGTGCTGCTTCAATCTACCAAATTATCATGCTCGGTGACGATGACTACGTGAGTTAGATCCATTGGATCAATATAATACCATTTAATCCAGACTTTGAAGTGAAAGTGGGTAGAACCAAGGATTAAAATATCGGTCGTGCAGATAATATCGGGCCTCCAATTTACAGATATTTCGAGGGATATATCGTTATCGTTTTGGGTATCGGGAAAAAATCAACAAAAATGACAGATATAGGCATTGAAACACATAATTTTGGTATAAAACTAGATGTTATGTACATTGTCAATGAATGTATTGAACAAATAAAACTCAAAATTTACTAATAATAAGATATATATATATATGATGAAATATAAGTGGTATGTAATACGCGTTAATGAAAAGTTTGAAAATAAAAAGTTGATTAGAATGAATAAACCATGCATAAATCCATAGTTTATTTGAACATTGGATTACAATTTAGATGAGTGTCCAACTACATAAATGAAGAGCTCCTATGAGGTTCAAACAATGTGGAACAACCATCTAGATTCGTACAATAATCATACCAAGTCATGTAACCCGAGTAGTTTGTAAGCCATGTTTGAACATGGTGCACATATGTCTCTCTTGAGCTCCCTACTGTCATCCCATATATGGGATAGTTAGGATTAACCCAATTAGGAGGTCCATAATCTGTTTCATCATCTTGAACTCCATATCTAGTTCCACTATAATCAGACATGACATAACCATAGCCATCATAAGATTCATTTGAGTTAGTACTAGGTCTATATTCTTTTGATGCATAGTCTATATTCTTTTGATGCATACTCTAAAACATGCATACTCCAAAACATCTTTTGAATTGAATATTGCCAAAAGCCTTCACACATATATCTAATCACTGCACATATACCTCCAAAAAATCTTTTCAGTTTCAATTTGCTTCAAAACTTTTGAATTTTTTTTGGTTTTGTTATGGGTATCAGAAAATATCGGGAATATCGGCAAAATATCGGGGATATCGCACTTATTAGGGATATATCGTCGATATCGGGGAAGATATGACCTTACCCCCTAATATCGGTGTCGACAGTTCAAAATATCGATATATCGGCCGATATATCGGTGTATCGGCCGATATTTCAATCCTTGGGTAGAACAGTCCCAGAAGAAATGGTGCCCACAAACACAGCTTGTGAATCACATGAAAACAATGATGGTTTTGAAAAACTTTGTAAGAACAAAGCTCTTGGTAGCATGATGATGGATGTTACAATAAAAAAGCAAAAACGTTAGAGGGTAAAAACATAATTAAACGTATAAATAACATTATTAACCACTCATCAATCAGTCGATGAACAAATCCATAATAAAGAATTTCGCATTGAAGCATGATTCGAATCAAACTAACAAAATTACATAGCAAATTGAAGGATCTCCACTAGTAGTTCACCATGGATGTTTTTTAATTGACTTCCAAGCCCTTGCACAAACAAATTTGATGAAAATTTGACACATATTTAGTGGTATTTCTCTTTCTAATACTTGAAGAAATCCGGAGTTCATAACTCATTCCGTTCTGATTCAGAATCTTATCCAAGTCCTAGTCGTGCACGTAATTATAAATTATTTCCCAAGCAGCCAAACACTAGCGTTCACCGACTTCACTATGAGGAACAATTTTTATCACCTACCTGCCACGTACACGCGTCAACCATGTGGCCCAAGTTGACGAACACTCCGTTCTACACGCGGGAACGAAACACGACAAAACTGACCAAATATGCCTCCCATTCCTCCTCCCAGTTACTTGCTTCAATTCCACGAGGACTTCGTTTCCAAAATTACCCTTGCATTTTATAACATTTGCAAAAATGACACTAAACCCAACCAGTCAGAGTGGTCGTCCCCTCAATTACGGTCAAGTGCCAGTGGTAGTTTAGGGAATTCAGTGTGTTTTACAGTTCGGGTCCGAAACCGAAGCTTCTCTCTTTCTCTCTCTGAAGGTTCTTCTTCTTCTTTGGTGTTCGCTTTTTGACTTTGATCAGAACCACTACTGCCTCTTTTCTCTGAAATTGCAGAGCTTTGATCTTCCTTTTTTTTATATTTGGGATTCTGATTTAAAAAGGGTTTGCCTCGGATTCAGATTCTCGTGCTGAATTTCTCTGCTAAATTTGGTACATTTGTCTCTGCTGTGAAGGACTGCAGGTATTCTTGCTCTGTCTTTTTCTCTCAATTCCGATGTTTCTAATGCAATCGCACATGGGATTTTTTTTCTTTTTCTTTTTTTCTGCTTTTGGATGTAATTGGTGGTTTGTATTTGGCTTAATTTTCTGCAGAGGTCGGTGAACGCTAGTGTTTGGCTATTAATTTTTATCAATTTTTTTTTACCATTCTTTGTTTTGGGTATTTGTTTTTTTATAATTGTTCAATTTATTCTTCATTTTGTCTTTGGTTTTTATTTTATTTGTTTTGCTGAATTGGTTAGTGAATGCAAGTAATAGAATTGCCTTTCCTTTGTTGGTTCTTGTTGGAGGTGATTGACCAATTTGTTTGGTAATTGAATTTCTCTTGAAGATGTTGGTTTTTCCCGATTGAATGTATAGTCTTCCTTGTTCTGAATTTATCTCCATATGTTAGGCTTCCAATATACCACATTGGAACAATAGAACATTTTGGTACAATATATGAACCATGGAGCACCCCTTTCTTACAAGCCGGTTTTGTAAGGGCAAAGTTCTTTCCATGGATTCCTATCAAGTAGTACAAGAACTGGTTCCTATAAACCAGTATTAGAACTGGTTTCACCACGCAATTGGGCTGGACCCTATGGAAAGGGCAACCTATAGGCTTGATTTAAATAATCATTGGTATTATGTATCAGATAACGTTGGTCGTCGGTATTAGAAAGTTTTATTGTGTGTATCATTTGTAATGTTCAGGTACTAATTGCTTGACTTCTTATTTCCTTGTTGTATTTCAATTGCTAGTCTATTAACAATACAATTTCTTTAACAGCTCCTCAGTATTCTGAACCCACTATTTCCTTAAAATGTATCCAGTGTTAAACTTGTTTCACACAATTTGTAGTTAGTGGGTGGTCTAAGTTGGACAAGAAAAATAAAAAAGCATGAAAGAATTGGTTTAGTGTCAGTTTTGCAAGGTTTTGACGAATGCATCATAGACTAATTTGATGTATTGATAATTGCAAGGTTTTGTTTCTAGATCCAGAGAACTTTCTTCCAGACATCAGGGTACAATGCGTGCACCATCATTGCTTGCACAGTGTTTGCCTGGCTTGGTGCCTCATGAAAAAGGAAGTCATAGCGTGTCTTCCATTTCTGAGAGAGAGCCACATCTCCCTTCACCAGCCGTTGAGATTGTCCCTTCAAAGGTATAATCCTTTCCACCTCTTCAACCATTTGTGATCTTAATTCTGCATGTGTAACCTGATAAAGATAAACTTAATCATTTCATATCAAGGGTTTGTTCAGTAAAAAGAGGGGTCTTTAGGTTGGAGCTTTTGTTGCAAGAGGGAGGGGAGGTTAACAAGTTGTATAATTTTCTAACATTGTCTCTTTATATACTGCAGACAGCTCACCCATATAAGTATGCGGGCGAGAATATTGAATTGCAAGGACTCAATGTGTTCAAGGTACATCTTTATTCTACTATTTGTTTTGGCATGTTGTAAAAGCATTGTTTTGTACATGCCTTTATGGAAGATCAGTTGCAGTCTGAAATTGATTATTGATTATAAAAAAAATAAAAAAATAAAAACATTGCTAGTGGTCTATCTATGGATTGTAATCTAATACACAGCTGGTCCTTCATGGCTCGGTTGTTTATTAGCATTGTTCTTATGTATCAAGACTTTGATTTATGAGGTGTTGCCCTAATATAATGTTGAAATAAGATATTTCTGTTATGTGTAAAGTGATCTTTACACCTTTTCTATGTTTCATGGTCTCTTCTTCTTCTATAAGTCTCTTTTGTTTTGTTACGAAATATCTTTGATTTTCCAATGTGTCGTGCTATTTAAAAAAAGAATTATATGTTTTCTTTTAAACTGGAGATATATGGATTTGATTAAATGGCTTTTGGCATTTAGCTTGTATTACCTTTGTGGAAATATTATTGTCTTGATCTTGATGGATTTCATTGTCATGACAGTTTTTTCATATTGGTTGAAACAGCATAACTGACAACTCATGAGTGCGGTTTGCACTTTTATTGTTTAAAAATATGTTGATAAGCTTGACTGATGCCTTTCTCAATCTTTAACAGGGAAGAGTTAGTGTTTCTGATATCATCGGCTTCAATAGTTCAGAAATGATCTCAAAACCCGATGGTAGGCACACCGTACATGGCATTCCAATACTTAAAGTGAAGCTTTCAGTGTAATTTGGCAGTACTTAGTCACATGATAATTTTACTAGAGTAGTTTCCTTAGATCCTAAGGATAATCAGTTTGCTTGATGTGAGTTTAAAACTGGAAATTCATTTAATGTGCAGGGCATCTGAAATCTTGGGATAGCTCCATTGATCTTGTTAATGTCCTTAAACATGAGATTCGAGATGGGCAACTTAGCTTTCGAGGAAAAAGGGTGGTTGAGGTATAACATCTTGCTTTTTCATGCTTCAATTCAATATTGTTTATGACTTCTTGACTTTTCACTTTTTTGCTCCTAGTGGTATGATCATTCCTTGATATTTGTTGATATTTGATTTAATTCCACTCAGTGACTCTTTGTACTCTTGATTTATAAGATATCGTATTACAAATGACATACTTTTTGTAATAGAGTGGTTATTTTCTGCCCTATCTTGTGTGGTGTATTACTTAGAGTAATCATCTGTTTCTCATGTTTTCTTGGAGGGGCTTGAAAAATTTGTAATTTTTTTCTCTACAAAGATACCACATCTAAAAAATAATGTTAAATCCAAGCATGCTCGCAGAAATGTCCTCTAGTTTTCCTTGGGTAGATTTCAGGATTGTGTAACTAAATGTTTTCTGAACTCTATTTTAGTCGCATTGGTTGAGAAACCTTCACATGCTCACTTCCTGCAAATTTGTGGTTGTAACAAGCTTTATCACTCGTGTTGCTCCATTGGTAAGTTTCCTTTTGTTAATTAGTTACTGGCTGATTGGTGGTTTAATCTTTCTATTTGCTGATTCTTACAGCTAGGTTGCAACTATGGCCTTCCAGGGATTTTTGCATGCCTGAAGGTATGCATCAATAATAAAGGCCTTGCCGTTTGTTTTTTTTATGCAATTGTGCTGGTTTGTTCCGTTCTTTTTCATTTTCACTCTATCCTGATATCTTTCTTTTTCCTTAATAACCAGTGCATTTTTGTGAATTTGGCACCGACCTTTTTTAAAGTAATATTCACTTGCTATATAACCCTTAATATTTTGTTTGATTGACTTAATGTTCCTGTCGGAAGTATATTATGCATTTTGTGGACAGGAAATGTTTGTGATTTAAATTGCTCATATATGCAAGTGTTGGTGTATTATTTGGATCAATGTTTGAACTGGATTATATATGAGTGGGTACAGCATTGTGCCCAGTCCATATAAGGTCAAATAATTGCCTGCCAAATATGTGAAACAACCATACCCAAAAAATAAGAGAAAAGGAAAATATGGTTAACAGAAAAGTTCATCAACAATTATGTAAGAAATGCAGGGCTTACTTTTGGTGCTTGGAAGATATTCAAAGAAGTTGATTTAGAATGTTCATCTAATGTGACTCATTGCTTTATAGGGAGCTTCCACTGTGCACTTTCAAGACCTTAATGCAGAAACTATAAGATGTACAACTATACCAAATGTCCTTGCCAATCTTGAGCAGGCTCGAGACAAGCAGAGTCGACAGCCAGAGAGCCCCCTGACTCCATCAAGACAAACTCTGACCCAGTCAGTGCACTTTTATGCTGGTGACTGGGAAGAACTTCCCACTGTCTTGTCTGTTGTGAGGAATGATGGGTTTGAAGCGACGACGGGAATGCATCTAAGCTTCTCTGAGGAGGATTTTATGGATGGATGTAGCAGCCAAGATGGTAGCATCTTGGCACAAGAATCTTCTTCAAGGCGATCGAGGAAGCTTTCAGGAAGCCGGGCATGGGAGAGGGCTAGCGAGACAGAACAAGGAGGTGGATATGATATTATCCTGATGACAGAGATCCCATATTCGTTGACCTCGTTGAAGAAGTTCTACGGTCTCATAAAAAAGGTTAGTGCCTTGGCCCCTTTCATCATCTTATTTGAAGGCGTTACAACAATATGTTTATTCATGCTTCCTACTTTTCTCATGAGCAAACTGAATCTCAATTTTCAAATATTTATACTGTGAAATTATCAGTGTTTGAGGCCCCCATATGGAGTGCTGTACTTGGCCATGAAAAAGAATTATGTTGGCTTCAACAGCGGAGCTCGGCACTTGAAAAGCCTGGTAGATGAAGAAGGCATTTTTGGAGCCCATTTAGTGAAGGAGATGTCTGATAGAGATGTATGGAAATTTTTTCTCAAGTGAAACTAAAACTGAAAGTATAGAAGTTGTCAAAAACCGACCCTTAGAACTCAATATGGAATGTCATTCAACATTATTTCTGTTTGTATTATAAACAAAAGCTTCTTGTTTTTGCGTTAGTAATAATTAAGTCAAAAATGTAAGGATTAGTCGACAAACGGCTAATCTTTTCTTCTTCTTCTTCTTCTTCTTCTTTATTGGTGGCATTTATTCCTTAATATGTTGTAAATCAAAACATTTTGTAATTTCAATGCTAGATCATTTTTTTTTTTAAATCTTATTAGCTTTCCCTTTTGGTGTAGAAAGATTATCTTTATGGCCACTTTGCTGTTCAATATTGTTAAAGAAGATTTTGTGTTTTGCTTGGGGGTTCATTGCAGGCTGTAAATTTACTGAAGTGAATTCTTGGAAGGGGTTTTCCCTTAGTTAAGGAAAATGGTAAAAGATAATTTGGGAGTTCGTTTGCGCTAAATCATAATGACCTTAATTTATACACTATCATATCTCGCATTAATTTTGTCACCAACCGGAGAAATATTTTTCATTACTAATGTGACAGTTTGGACCTCCTCTGCTTATGCAACATACAAATGACTGTTTCTGATAATCCTGTGCCTCAACTAGCCACCAATTCTTCGTCAAGCTTTTCATGTACACCTGAGGCAATGTTTCATCCTTTCTTTACATGCCTGAAAAGCCGTCGTATTCCTATGAACGGCCGCCCAAAGAGAAACTGCAGTGATCTTGAGTAGGAATCATATCGCGATAGATAGAACTCCTATAGAACGATCAAGCACCAGTGATTCATAAAGCGAAAGAATCAAAAGTTTAATGGTAGAACGTTTGGGCATTAGTCGGAAAGTGGTCAAAATACTAACAAAAAGGAAGTAGAAATTATATTATTGTTATATTAGTAAATTAATATAAATTATATATATTAACATACTGATTCTACATTCTACATTACATATCATAATACACTTACATGCTGAAACTTGGTGTTTTGATATTTTTGTGGCCACATTTCACTGTAATTTTTACAAAATCTGTTAACCTATGCATGTACATATACATATGTTTCAATACCATGGTACAAAGTAATATGTTGCACGCAAATTTGATAGTGAAAAACACAGATGACAAAATTACTTCTAAAGTTCTATTAGCATAAGCATACAGAGCAACTACTCGACAATAATTTCCAGGAACCAAAAACCATGGTCCTTGTCGTATCTATATATTAAAAGGTTCTTTCAAGGGCAACAATGTACGATACACGAAACTTCCTTCTTCTTAATAATGCTTCTATGGGGTCTCTGTGAAAGCTAAAACCCTTATAGGAACCTGAAAGGTACATAGAGTTTGCCTCCTAAAGTCCTTTGTCAGTTTGACACAAGGTATAACATCTATCCCTGAGAATCAGGACAGAACATCTTGTCCTTTGCTGGAAATGAATTGGCCTCATAACGAAAACAAACATTTCTTCAGGCTGCATAAGCTCTTGATCTTTTGGACTAACAGACCACAGGGCAATGGAATTGCCAAAAAAAGATACAGGGCGAGGGAACTGGACATCAGTAATTAGAAACAAGTAACACAAGTCACTGGATTCTACATAGAACCCTGTCTGCCTCGGTTCTCTGTTAACCTTCCCCACACCATCTTCCCGCAATGCAATAAGGTCAATATTGCGATGAAGTACAAAATTTGAAGGCAAAAAGTCAATGTGGCTATTCTAGCAATAATTTCTGAAAAACTAATATTAAAAACTGTGCAACATATAACCCAAAAGAAAAGTGGAAGTAAATAATTCTTAAAAAAAACTCGTTAAACTATTTCAAACTCTACTTTAAGCTAATTGCAGCAAAAGCAAAAGGAAAAAAAAATCAACATTCTAAGAGGCTTTGTTTTTCCATAATTAGCAGATACAAGGCTTGGTTTTTTGTTCATTTATCTTTTCAAAGCAGGAACAACGAACAAGCCTTTGTTGTTTACTGGGAAAAAAGAGGATAAGCCTTAGTTAAGATAAGTTGAGTTTCCCACATATACTAAATCTTGGTATTTAATATACCATCTCATGACCATGACTATGCCTCATTACCTCACACATCCAACGATTCTTAGATGCAGAGACACATTGGACAGACCTCGGAAATGCATCAGACACATGACTGTCACTGTACACATCACATTTAAACATTTTTTTTTAGTTGACAAAGTTGGATACTTCAATTATTGTCTGCACATGTCCCTACACATACTCAATTTCTATATACTTTAGAAAACTTTTCTACATTTTTACTGTCAAGTGTAGAGTTTTCATCTTATAAAAAACCACGTGTTATGTATGCATCTTTTGCATACCTTGAATCTTACATAACGTAAATTAGTTGCTAACTGTGTATCACTTACATAATAAAGTATGTGTATGTGCCGTCTCAGGTCCTAGATTGGAAATTTACCCTTGCTTTTCAGTGAACGTATTTTTGTAATTTACCATGTCACATGTTTGTGCCCATAATTCATTCTCCAAGGGAGTAACAATCATTAGGACATTTTTATATATTTAAACACCAATATTTTTCACTTAAGACTTTTAAGGTTTGAAATTGAACGAACCCCCTGGAGTGTACAGCAACTCCAGAACTACTAAGTTAAATCACATTAAAACCCCTATGCCACCATGTCTTTATATTCCCACCCCTTCCAAATTCAAGGTTCATCGATGGGATCGTCAAGGCTACAGTTATACAAAGTGCAAAAGCACTGCCACTGTGAAGAGAGTGTATCTGTGTGTTTCTGTTTTCGTTGAATATGTGAGATTAGAGAGACTTACCACCATCCCTGCAACAAGATGAACAATAGGAACAAAAAACTGGTCCACCTTGTTCCCTTCTGCATATCCATTGAATGCAATGACCATAGAAAAAGTATGAATTGTGACAAATGCAAGGGCAATGAGTGCTGTAAAGTACAAGACAAAATTGTCAGACAAATAAAGTTAACAGAATAAGTGAAATTTTCTAATCTAAACACCAGCCAACTACCAAATTAATGTTGCAAAAGTGTCAGAAAATTCCCTTCCAGTCTTCCCTTGCTTGTTCTGATTTTACAGGTAGCAACTAAATGCATACAACCATGCTCGAGAAATTATAAAACCTCACTAGCATCTACTTACAAGCATGCTCAAGAAATTAATTCATACAAACAAAAAATAAATGTATGGAAGCAACTGTAAGGCTTCACTAACCAGAAAGAAGAAAAAACGGAATCTTCGAGCATCTGTCAACGAAAAAAGTTCCTGGACCAAATGCTGGTGTTAAGAGGCTGATACAGAAAAACACAGCATGTGCCACACCATGACCCAAACCTCCAGCTGCATGGTTGAAATGATATCAGGTCAACAGTAAGTCTAGTTGGGACAAACAAAAGGTAATCAAAATTTTGTAAGTCGTCATTTACAGTAGTTGGCAAGGAAAGGTGAGAAGGGAAAACATGCTACTGTTCAGCAGAGGCATCATACAGATCACAGATAAACAAGAAGGTTCAAAACTTTGATTGCTATAACACTTGAAGTACCACTGACAGTTGGCATCCAGTATGAAAACAATCAGAAAAACAGCTTAGAACAACAAAAACCTTATAGGGTGATGATAAACCATAAACAACTCAAAATAGATCACTCAATCACAAAGATCTAAAGGGAGAACCACCTATCAGCTACCCTCCCTTCTTTTTAAAACACATGATACAGTACGTGAAGCATTGTCATCAATTGCAACATTAATAGGAACACGCAATTGCTAGAACAAAACAGCAGTTTCTTAAACCATTGAGAAAGGGTACCAATGATGGGGGCAGCAGCTATATCTTTCATAAAAAAAAAGGTAAATCTTTCTTAGTAGCTTCTTCTGAGCCCCAAAATTTTGGTGTTGGGATGACAATAATGAAAAAGCTGAACTGCAGAAAAAACTTGCTATATGGAACTTAATAGTAGAACATTTAATATATAATGAATCCAAGTCTAAGAACCTCGCAAAGCTCACCCAGAGCAATTTGCATCTTATCAGTCAGATATAGGCGTGGTTTAGAGACCCTATCAGCAAAAGCATCCAATGTATCTTCCAACCTCCTAAAATAACATGCAAGAAAAAAGATGTTAATACCTTTATTAACCATTAACAATATCCAAATTCTCAAGATAACATGCATCATCACATCTACAACAAAGTAGAGGGACAAAAATGATTACATAAAGTTCCAAAGAGGAACAGCAGATTCTTAAATAGAGAACATAAACATTCAAATGAAAAAAAAAAAAAAGTTGTTGTGAGATTCCACAAATGGCAGCGAACTTTTAAATTTAAGAGAGAAAATTGATGGATCTCTATCAAGTCATTTAAGGTTAAAACAAATAGAAAATAATGCTACCGCTTATGTGCATGCAGAAAACTGTAAGATTTTTGGTATTCGAAAACTCAGAAGTCTGTAAAACATTCAAGAAAAGGACACCACCTAGTCTGGCGATTATTAAGAAGTCAAAATTGACAGCAGGCTCAACAAATCTAAGGCACTAATGAGGAAGAAGAATATTGCAGAGCAACGTAGATATTGCAAGAGTAAGACTGTATTTTTTTAATTACAAGCAAAAACAACACAGCAGAGCATTTTAGTATATACCTAGAAGATACCGTGCTCATGTCATTCAAACAAACAAAAACCAAGGAACCGAACTTTCCATAATTACGCCTTACATAAGAATTTGAGATGACAGCTACATATTACACCTTTACTAATACAACCTTCAGGGCAAAGATAGTTCTTTGAACACTGTCTAATTCTAAAACCACACTAATTTCACCAGTGAGAAAACTCTTCTCAAAAGTGTTCCACAGAGATTGCTACTCCACGTATTATCCTATACTCAGGCGGAAATATGTGTAAAATGTTTCATACTAAATATACCCCAACCTTTTATCATACCTTAGTCTTCCCTTCCCTATAAGAGAGAGCTATAAATCAAATTAACTAGAGCTAACCTTTAACATTGATCTACATCGAATAATTAGACAAGAAAACAAGAATGAAGTACCAAGAAATCAACTTACTTGTAGACCTTCCAGAAAAGAACCCGAAGCCCTTCTTGAAACGCAACCGATGTGAATATGAGAATGCTATAGGGCCACCATGTTGATGATTTGAGAGGCAGAAATGCCCTCCATATTCCCGACAGCACGATGAGACTTGTGAGCCATAACAATGTGCTACATACACAATTAGACAACAAGGCAATATTATGAGCTCATATTACATGGTCTTCATCATACACCAACAACAAAATGTGAACAAGGCCCTTTGTTTTAGTGGAACCCCTTTCCAAATAACTAAATTTGACCTTCCAATTTGGTAACTAATTCTTTTTTAATGTCACCCAGAATTTCAAAAACACTTAACATATCACAAACTACATTTTCTATCATAAAACTGACCTTAATTATTATCACAACTACAACATAAGCTTAAATGACAAGTTTCAATGTCCAAAATTACAGAACTGTACGAACCCAAGAAGGAAAATGTGCCCTAAAAGGAAATACACCAAGAAGGAGGGCTTTTGGAGAGAGAGAGAGAGATGGGAGAAAATATGTGAATAGCTTACCTTGAAAGTACGGTGAGAACCAAGAAGGGTTTTTTGGAGATAACAGAGACGAAGAGGGAGAGAGACGGGCCTAGCGCTAGCAAGGCGTACCCGATCCCTGCTGCTATCGTCATTGACTTGTTCGGCGAGGCTTCACTCAGTAGACTCGACTCTCAATTCATCTATTTCAGAGCATTGCACATTTTTCATTTCGGGTTCTAGGAGTTCTCCTTTCCCTGCCATATTTATGTTTATTTAAAATTAAATGGCGAATTTGAGACTGCTTAAAAGCACTTTTTATTTGAAGCATATTGAGATTTTTATTAGATATTCAAGTGCTGCTTCGTAAAGTATTTGGAAGTTGCTTTTATAAGAAGTATTTCTCCTTGCCGTAAAAGTGTTTTTTCAGAAGCGCTTTTATTAGAAGCACGATTGAAATATTTAAGGTTATTGATCGAAATGGCCCCCCAACTATTGCTCTAGTATCATTTTGGTTCATCAACTAAATTTTTCATTTCAATGGCCCTTCAACTCTTAATCTGGTATCAAAACGGTCCTACCGTCAAAGTATGTCAATTTTATTGTTAAATTGAGGGGTAAAAATGTCTTTATGAATTAAAATAGTAATATATAATTAAAAATTAAAGGAAACTATTACAAAACTTAGAAAATTTTAAAAAAATTGAATCTCACTAGCCACATGGCTTTTTTTTTTCCTGAGATTGACCTAACAATTAATTTAAAAAAAAATTCTCTTTTGTTTAAATTAATTAAAAAATTCAATAAATATATAAATATCGAAATAAAATAACAAATTTTTTAAAAGAGTAAACAATAATTAAAAATTAAAGTAAACTATTATAGGAACTTGTACCTAGTTTTAAAATTGAAAAAATTGAATCTCACCAGCAACATGGCTTTTTTTGGCTGACATGAACTTAAAAAGTAATAATTTTTTTTCTCTATTGTTTAAATTAATTAAAAAAATTTAAAACCAGATAAATACAAAAATAAACAACAAAAAATTAAAAAAAGTAACCCCAAAACAAATAGACCCAGCATTACCCCTAACACAAACGAACCCAACATTACCCATCCCCACCTCACCAACCCCGCAACCTCCCCTCACCCCCATCTACAACCTCGCAACATCCCCTGTCTCCGCCTCCACCCACCGTCACCTCACCACTCTCAGCCACTCTCACCATGACTGGCACCCTCTCTCTCTCCCCCCCCAAATCCACGATAATTATCACCCAAAAGCTATGAAAATGAAAACCTATGAATGGGTCTCTCTCTCTCTCTCTCTCTCTCTCTCTCTCCCCCTTGTCTGTGTACACCAACTCAAATATGATATGGGGTTGTTTTTGTTGGGTATGGCTTCTATTTGAATCGGGTTAGTCTGATTTGCGGGGCTCCTTTAGGCTTGAAGTTGCTACTTTATGCAAGAGATCAAAGGGGTTGGGGAAGGGGAGCTGGGTTGAGGATGGAGGAGGCTGAGATGGGGGAGGCTGAGATGTGGGTTGGAGTAGTGAGAGAGGCTGAGATATGGGTTGAAGTCGTGAGATGGGGAATGAGTTTGGTAATTGTATATGGATGGTTTTACCCCGCAATTTAACAATAAAATTAACCGAATTTGACCGTAGGACCATCTTGATACAAAATGAAGAGTTAAAGGACGCTTCAAATGAAAATTTTAGTTGGTGAACTAAAATGATACTGGAGCAATAGTTGGGAGACCATTTCAGTCATTAGCCCAAATATTTATTAAGAATCCAAAATGCTTTTTGGAAAAGCACTCAAAAGTGCTTTTTAAGGAAGTGCTTCTCTAGTTTTCACTCTTATGCACTTTCAAGATTTTCTACCAATCGCTTTAAGAAGCGATTTTGGATGTTAAAAAGTGTTTTTAGTCATTCCAGAAGCAATATTAAACAAAAGTAAATAAATAAATAAAATTTGCTATTATAGTTGATAAAGTGACTTCTTTTAAATAATAAATAAGAAAGGTTCTAGAGGTGCTATGTGTCACGACCCAGCTCGTTGGATTGATCATGCTAGACCTCTTAGCCCACATGTCCAGATTCGTTGTACAGTAGTTGGTAGACTACGGTTGGTGACAGTAGTTGGTAGATGCCGGTAGGTGACATTGTATCTTAGCCACCTATTGTGGTGGTAGGTGGGATAGGAACAGTATATAAGGGGGATGTCACATTGTGTATCCTCACCTCACAACTTGTAAGGCATTTGAGTAGCAATACAAACAGATATTCTCCCAAACTTTCTTTAGCATTCTTTTGCGTTCTTACTCTTGCGATTGTTCTTGGCTTGGCTCTATCTTGTGTTGTAGGAAGGAGGCTGACTTAGCTTGTTCAAGAGGCGATCAAGTCTAAGGCCGTACGGAAGGAAGACTCCAGAAAAGTCATCTCGTGACAGTTGGTATCAGAGCGAAAGCTCAAATCATTCGAAGAAGCATGTCGAAGAGCGGATCCGATGTGGAGACTGATCTATCCAAGGTCAATATGGATCGCGGGGGTAAATCAAAGAGGGAACGATCTAGAGATGTTGTAGCTATGATGGAGAAGCGGCTTTCTAAGATGGAGAATGCCGTGGTCGAGTTCGATCAGCGACTCGAGGAGGACGTCTTTATGAAGAGTGGTTTCGAAGCTGTGGTGGATGAGCTTCAAGGCCAATTCCAAGGAGCTCTCAACTCCACGCTAGACAACATGCGGCTACATGTCCAAACCAAGCTGGATCACTTCTTAGCGGAGCTTACTTCACTTCGTGAGGAGGTGAAGGATGTGAAGGGAGATTGGGCTTTGTGCAAGAAGCTGTCCTGAACAAGATCCGGACTCCGAAGGAACCCAAGGTGTTAGATTCTTTCAAGCCCAAATCCTATAATGGGAAGAGGGAGGCGAAGGAGCTAGACACATTTTTATGGAATATTTAGAGGTATTTCAAGTATCTGAAGCTCGAGGATGATAAGCCCAAGATCAACACGGCAACGTTGTTTCTCACCGACAATGCTCGCATATGGTGGCGTCGTCGATCCATGAAGATCGAACAAGGTATGTTTACACTTGAGACTTGGGATGAATTTAAGAAGGATATTATGTTGCATTTCTATCCAGAGAATGCCAAGTATGGGGCAAATGAGAAGCTGAGATGGTTGAAGCAAACTGGGAACGTGAATGACTATGTCGCCATGTTCACCAACCTATTGTTCGAGGTGCCTAGGATGAAGGATGAAGACAAGCTCATGTACTTCATGAGTGGCCTACAGAATTGGGCCAAGCTGGAGTTACAAAGGAGACACGTCCAAACCTGGTCAGAGGCAATTGCTACAGCTGAGTCTCTTGTTGAGTTCAAGAGGAATGATCAAGACAACTCCAAGTTCAAAGGAAAGAAAAGTGGCAATGGATCTGGTGGGGGAGACAACGAGCTGAAAGAGCGTAGCAAGCTTGGAGACAAGTCTGATGGTCACAAGTCATCCGAGAAGAAGAATGACAAAGGTGACAAGGAGAAAGACAAGTCGAAGCTAGCTTGTTACTTGTGCGATGGAGCGCACATGATGTGGGATTGTCCGCAAAACAAAGCTCTGAATGCTATGAACCAAGAAAAGGAAGAGGAGGCCGATAGGGAAGCAAGAATGGGGGCCATTCACCGCTTCAATGCCATACAGGCCAAAGTCGCTCAACCACAGGTTCAAGCTAAAGGAGTGATGTTCGTCGACGTCATGGTGAATGGCAAGACAACCCTTTGCCTAGTGGATACAGGTGCCTCGCACAACTTTATGTCTGTGCAAGAAGCAAAGAGACTTGTGTGTCGAGTCTCGAAGGAAGCAGGCAGTATGAAGACGGTGAATACAACTGCCAAACCGATTAATAGAGTAGCTCGTGGTGTGGAGCTACACATTGCCACTTGGAAGGGAGTAGCTGACTTCTCTGTGATCCCAATGGATGAGTATGATGTCATGCTAGGAATGGAGTTCATGAACAAGGTAAAGGCATTCCTCATTCCATTTTACAATACTATGTGCATTGCACAGGGTGGAGCAATGCCATGCATGGTGCTAGTGGTGAGGCAACAAGGCGAGTCAAAGCTCTTGTCAGCCATGCAATTTTCCAAGTCTTGGAAAAAGGGCGAACCGACGTTCCTTGCAACTATGAAGATGAATATAGTTCAGAAGGAAGTCCAACCCGTCCCAAAAGCTATGGAGGCAGTCCTTAAAGTGTTTGCAAAGGTCATGCCCAAGGAGTTGCCCAAAACCTTACTGCTTAGGAGGAAGGTGGATCATGCCTTCGATGAGTTGAAGAGGGCACCTATGGAGGAACCAATGCTGAGACTACCCGATTTTAGCAAACCTTTTGCGGTACACACTGATGCATAAGATTCTGTTATTGGTGGTGTACTCATGTAGGATGGACTCCCATTGGCTTTGAAGAGTCGGAAGCTCAATGACAAGGAGCAAAGGATACGAGAGGGCTTGTTGCATGATCCCCAAGCCAAAAGTTTGTTAGAGCTTGTCAAAGATAGGAAAACAAGAAGATTTTGTCTCGATGGTGTTCTTTATGCAACAAGGAAGAGGATCTATGTTCCAAGGTGAGACAATCTGAGGCACTATGTGAGTGACCACCAGCGAGATTGGGCCAAGTTGTTAGATGTTGCTCAGTTCTCATACAACTTGCAGCGGTCAGAGTCAACAGGGTCAAGTCCTTTTGAGTTAGCAACGGGACAACCTATGACACCGAACACAGTGGTGTCAGGCTACACGGGGAGTAGCCCAACTGCATACAAGATGGCCAAGGAGTGGCAGGTGACTAATGAGCTGGCTCAGGCTCAATTGGAGAAGGCAACTCGGAAGATGAAGAAATGGGCGGACAAGCATAAGCAAGATGTTGTGTTCCAACCAGGTGATATGGTCTTTGTGAAGCTTAACCCCTCTCAACACAAGTCCACTAGAAAGTTACACAAGGCATTGTTGAGGAGATATGAGGGCCCCTTTCTTATCATCCGATCAGTGGGAAGAGTTGCTTACCGTGTGGAACTACCACCTCGATTGAAGATTCATCCGGTGTTCCACGTGAGCAATCTCAAGCCTACCATGCCGACCCCGAGGAGCCAAGTCATGAAGAGTCTCAATGAGCTCCACCTTTGATGGTGACTTCATTTGACAAAGAGGTTGAGTGCATCATGGCCAAGCGAGAGGTGCAATTCAAGGGTGTACCAAGGTACTTTGAGTACTTTATCAAATGGAAG